AATTTAAACAGAAGTTCAAGCTTAGTAAGATACACATGTTGTTCTTCATCTTAAATTTTTTTTTTTGCTTATTAATACACACGAAGATCTTTTCACATCAGTCTGCCTTATCTCACCTCACATATTTTAATAGCTACCTTTCACTTGTGTAGCTCTACCATCACTTATTTAACCACTTCTGTGTAGATGGCTGTTTTTAGTCTTTAACTGCTATAAATAATGTGTCAGTGATGGTACTACAAGAGCCATTCTTCGATATATGTGTGAGTATATCTCTGGGACCAACACACTGAAGTAGAGCTGATAGATCAAAGGCTCTGGACACTTACCGACTGGCTAAATACTGCCCGGTTGCCCTCCTCAGAACTGCACCAACTTCTCCTCCCTCTGCCCGAGAAAGTACCTGCCTCCCTCCCTGTCTGGCTGGCCAAAGTAGGGGACTTCCTGGTTTTTGTCAACCTGATACACACACACACACGCACACGCACACACATATATATAACAGATTCATTGCAGTTGCAATGAGCATGCCTTTTATAATGAAAAGGGCTGAGCAGTTTTACATATTTTAAAGATCCTTCTGTGTTGCCTTCATTGCAGTGTTTATTACACCTTTTGCCCAAATGTCTGGCATCGTCGGTGTTTTCCTTATTGAAACTACTCCCCTACAGGAGAACTTTGGTTTCTCCTCAAATACTCTCATCTCCAGGTTCTAGTAGCTATCTGGGTTGCTTTTTTTTTTTTTTTAAGGTCACAATTTAGTCAGTGTTTTTATTCTAATAATAAAGAATCATCAGACGCTAACTCCATTACAGGGAAGCCCACATGGAGAGGGTATGAACTGATTAGCGGAGACCGCTTCCTCTATCTGCTTCCTCCACGGCTCCACCCAGTGCAGTCTGGTTACTGTCCTCATTTTACCGCCACCGGCCTCTTCCAGACAGACCACTGACCTCGCTGAGGCTAACTCCACGCACTGGCCAGCTCTCCTCTACACGGGTCGCTCTCTAGCATTTCACACGCCGCCCCTCCTCCCGGGCTGCGGCACTCACTCTCCTGTTCCTCCCACCTCTGTGGACATCTGCCCTCTCCTTGTACATGTTGGCATCTTCACAGGGTCCCATAGGAGGTCCTCTTCTCTTTAAAAAACTTTTTGTTATTAACTTATCTAAAAGGTAGAGAGACAGGGAGGGAGGGAGAAGGGGAGAGGCTAGGTGATATATACATATATATATGTATGTATGTATGTATAGATAGATAGATAGATAGATAGATAGGTAGGATAGATATTCCATCTGTTGGTTCACCCCTCAGATTCCTGCAAGAGCCAGGGCTGGGCCAGGAACTCCATCTGGGTGTCCCACTGGGTGGCAGGAATCCAAGTACTTGAATCATCACCTGGTGCACCCTGGACACATTACCAGGAAATCGGATGGCAAGTGGAGTGTTTGGGACTTGAACCAGGCATTCTGATATGGGATGTGGGCATCCCAAGCAGTGGCTTAACTGTACCATATCCTTGCCATGTCTTTTCTTTTCTTTTCTGTTTTTTTTTTTTTTTTAAGATTAATTTATTTGAAAGAGAGAGAGACACAGAGAGAGAGCACGTGCTTCCATCCACTGGTTCACTCCCCAAATGATCACAGGCAGGTTTGGGCTAGGTGAAAACCAAGAACCTGGAAGTCCACCGTGGCGGGCAGGGGCCCAAGCACTTGGATTACCATCTGCTGCCTTCCCAGGCACACCAACAAGAGGCTGGATCACAAGCAGAGCATCCGGACTGGAGCAAGTACTCCGACATGGGATACCACTATCACACGCAGCGACTTGATCCGCTGCACCACAATGCTGGCCCTGGAGTGATCTTCCTCAAAATGCACATTTGCTTACTTCACTATGCTCCTTGAAATTCATCAGTGACTTTCCACTGGGCTTAGGAGAAGTCCAGGCATCCTGGGAGACACACCGGACCTTTCTCGGCAAAGGCCCTGCTGAGCTGTGTGGATATCGCCTGCAGGACTTCTGCCGTGGATCCGCACAGCGCAGGTGTTGGGAGCGCACTACTTCAGCTCCCGGGGGACACCTTTTTACCAAGGTCTTTACACACAGTGATTTTTTTTTTCTTTTTCTTTTTCTTTTTTTTTTGGACCTGGGATACCTTCCCTTTCACTTGCCCTCTTGTCTGGTTTATTTCTCTCTACCCCTCAGAACTTACGTTAAGATGAGCTCTGCGTTATAGGGACCCGACTAGAACCACTCAGGGTAAGGGACCCATCCTGAACTCCCCTGCCGACACCATCTCCCATCTCCCGGTTGTGTGGCTCACAGTATGCACCTGTCTCCCCATGATCCTAGAAGACCTGCAGAGCAAGGGGCTGTGTCTTCTTTCGCTTTATATTTTCAGTGTCTAGCACAGTACCTGACACACCGCAGGCTCTCAATAATGGATAAAGTGGCAGAGTCGAGTTTCAAAGTCAGGTCTTTTCTCTCCAGCACAAATCTCACATTTCTTCACGCTACTTCTTCATATCTTGAATCTGAAAAATTCCAATCACTAAGCAAACTATCTATGTTTGCCTATCACTAAATAAGGGTAACAGACTGTTAGTGCCATGAGGATTCAGTTGATTATTTCTGGTATAACCTTTCCTCCATCCTCTGCCTCTTTGCTTGTCTACGAGCTTTGCATTAACTACAAGTACAGCAACAGAAAGACCTTTCCCTGTGCTCCTATAGCCTTCTGTATTTTGTATCACCTTGCTTCTAAGACACCACCACAGCAAGGACAGAGTCTCTACATCAGGACCAGGGTAGATTTGCTTGGCACCTGACAATAAAAATGGATGTACCAACAGCAAATCGTTTCCCATGAGCAAAAGGCTCTCTGGAAAGGTACCAAAAGTTCAGTGCTGATATCTGACATTGAGACCTCCTGCTAAAGATGAAGTTCTACATACTGAGTTCAACCTAACCACAGCATTTTGTCCATGTAGGGAACCTTACCCATCCTGTAGTTAGTTCAGCACTTTCATTTAAGCTTCCATGAAGGAGACCTCCAAGGGCTTGTCCAAGGTCATCCAGTCTACATCAGTGGGAGCCAGTTTCCTGGCTGATCTTACCTCAACATTATATCTACCCTTTTCCAAGGGCTTTATATCCCATCTGAATAAATTATCTGCATCAGAACTCACCTGTTTACCTAGCGCTTATCTTTATGATGTCTTTGTTACAAAGAGGAAGGAACTGGGGAAACAAACAAACAAACAAACAAAAAAGACAAGGTTGTCCTGTCCAGGACAGAGAGGAATTGGTAACAATTAGTACACAAAGTGATGGGGCTTCCTATTTGTAGCCTGGCCTCATAATCACACGGTGTTCTTGGAGAGCCACAGCGCTCACCCAGGCTTATTTGTCCTTCCTGGGCCTGGATTCCATTCAATTTTGTGCCTTATTTAGTCAAAATGATTTCCCCAGTTTCAATGTGCATTTTTTTGTGCCGCATTTTAGAAATATCATACTTCAATCTACTCTCTGGAGTTTCTGCTAGTCTCAGTGCTGAGGAATGAAAATTCTGGGTAAGAGAAATATAGAAGATGGATTTTTCTGGGTTTTTCATTTCAAGAATGGATTTTTCAAATGGCTACTGGCGGTCGAATTTATTCTTCAAAGGATGATGTTTTCCATGGGAATTGGGATTTAATTGAGATACTTTGCTTTCAACAAAAAGCAGAGATTTTTTTCCAAGAGAATCAGCTTGATAATATTTTACCAGGGAGTGCTCCGAGACCAAATACAAACCAGTTCTGAGAAACGGGAAGTGAACCTGACTGGTCTAGCCTGAGTGTCCCTAGCAGTGACGCAAACCCAGAAATCAAATGAGGAAAACAAGATCCGTGGGTGTGAGGCCATAGATGATAATCCGGGATGCTGCAGCCGAGGCAAGAATGCCTTCAACCAAATGCCATTCATTTTAATAACACCCTGAGCACTGTGGTCTCCCCACGGCGCGCTGGTGAATACAGAGAGCAGGTGAACGCGAGTTCCCTAGCAACAGCATGTGCTTGTGAGACAGTCATTAGCTTCTCAGTTAATCCCGTCAACCCCTGACTTCCAAACGTACGACTGACATTAAAGAAAGGATGCTTCAGAAAGTGCGTTGAAATTTCCAGGAGCGACACGGGAAGCAGTAGTGATCCTAAGGTGCGCAGAACTGCACCGGGGTGCAAGAAGTCAGGTCCCCGGCGGCCAGCCCGTCCCTAAGTTGCACTGCTCCGTCTGCTTCTGAAAGCCCCAGGGGGCAAGAAGATGACAGCGTTCAGAGTCGGGGGCGGTCTAGGCGTCAGCCCTGCCAAGGCCCTCGGGCCCGCAGGCCCCAGGGGGGCCGGGGTGAGCCTCGGGGGCGCACGCAGTGTGTGTGGAGCGAAGGCTGATGGGGGTCGGGTGCGAGGGAAGGACGCGCGTGTTCTTCCTTGGAGCCCAACGAGTTCCCCCCACCCCACCCCCAAGGAGCGCAGGGGAAGAGGGTGGCGAGGGCAACGAAGCTCCTTTTCCTATTGATTGTTTAATTGCAGCAAAGGCTGCCTGTCCAGGGCCCCAAGCCAAGAGCTTTATTTTCGTGGCTAAAGTGAGGTTGGGCAGGTTTCCCATCCCCGTGCCTCGTTTCAAACGAGACAACCCAGAAGGCAAGGCTGCAAGGAATATGGTGTACGTTGGCGTATGCTCCTCAGCGGCGCCCAAAACCGCCGGGGCTGATGGGGCGCGCGTCCCTAGACCCCCAGAATCATTGCCTCCAGCTGCGTCCCGAGCTCCGCACGCACGACTCCGCCCTCGGGGGAGCGCGGCTCCGCGCCGGGGCTTTATTTCTAACGACTGCTGCGTCTGCCTTGGCCACCCGCAGGATGGCCTGGCGCCCTTTTGGTGGCTCCCGCTGCTCCCCGCCGCCCCACCTAAGCCCCCTGCGCGCTCCCTTCCCGAGACGACCACCTGCCCGCCCCACTTACCCTGTGCCCGCGAGGGGCGGGGGCTGGGGTGGCCGAGCCCTCCCTGCTCCGGGGCGGCTCTGGGGGAGCCCGCTGTTTGCCTCCAGCCCTTCGCTACGCGAGGATCAGGTTCCTCCCCCTCCTCCCTCCAGCTCCGGCCGCCGCCGCCGCCGCCGCCTCGTTGCATGACACAGCAGAACCGGAGCTGCGGCAGCAAAGTCCCCGCCGTCCGCCCAGGAAGCGCCGCACCCGGGCCTCGGGCGGGGCGGAGGGCGCGAGGCAGGGGCCCCAGCCCAGGGGGGGAGCCTGGCCCCACGCTGCACCACACATTCCCTCCCCAGCCCAGGGTCACGCCTGCAAAATAAGGCTGCAGCCGAGCAGGCCGGGCCGTGCCTGGAAGACGGGCTGGGCGGCAGAAGGGATGGGACGAGAGAGGAGGGGTGGAGTACGCCCCAGTAAAGGGGCAGGACGTTTCAGGTAAAGAGAGGTAAGCTGAGGCCCCCGGAAGGCGAGGGCCAGCCTGGGGAGGAGATGACAGGAGGTCAGAGAGAGAGAGACAGAGAGGTGCAGAGGCCGAGGAGCTGGGAAAGGGGGCGCAGAGGACTTGGGAAGTCCGAGCCAGGCGCCCTGGCCGAAAAGGGACTCAGTTGGGAGGCAAGGCCAGAAAGGGGGGAGAGGGGTGAACCAGGCATGAGCTGGGATGGTGAAACCTGGGGGACCTGCTAGGACATGGAAGGGACACAGTGGTGATGCGTCATGGCTGGTGGGTAGGTAAACTGATGAGGCGGAGAGAGAGGACAGTGGATTCCCACCCAGTCTCGGCTTTCTTGCGAAGTTTCTTCATCATGCGGCCAACCCAGGCAGCTTTCCTTGTAACATGGAAAAGCATGAACTGGGACCCGAGCATGGCACCATGGAGCTTAGCTTTGCAGGATGAAGTCCCCACGGGCCAAAACCACTTTGGGGTAAAGATTGGGGATTTCAGGTGTGAGTCACTACTAGCGGAAGCTACCCAAAGCTGAGATCTCTCTGGACCTGAATATGCCCTCCAAGCGTTGCTTCAGTTAAATGCTAGAAGTGATGGCAACATGAGAGGTTCACCATACTCTGGACACGCACATGTATTTCTCTTCGGCTAGGTGCGCACACGGCATGAGCGTGCACTTGCAGTGTAACCGGGTTCTAGTGTCTGGCATGTGCCGGGCCATGAAGGGACAAAGATGCTTTTCTGATTCTTTTACCTTTTCCGTGCATTTTTCTTTTCTTTTCTTTTCTTTTTTTAACAGCAGCTAGGCTGCTGTCACCATTTGCAAGATGCAAACACTGCCACTCTGGTTTCTTCTCTACCTTCCAGGTCACATCTTCGTACCTCACTTCCTGACACAAACAAGTTTTTTTTTTTTTTTTTTTTTTTTTTTTTTTTTTTTTTTTTTTACTGTTGTCAGCAACACAGCAACCATATAGCTGCGGAAGAGAGAAAAACCGCGTCGCCTTTGGCCTCGCGCAGTTCCGGGAGGACTGTCATTCCAGCCAGCGTTCAAGCGGGCGCTGACGGTAATTACGTCTCCAACGCCTGCTTCTGCTGCTCCTTACGGTTTTGCCGTTTCGGTTCGACCCGCGATGGGTACTGAACGCGCATGGGGAGGGCCCAGCCCGGCTTTTCTTTCTCGGACTCGGTGAAATCTGATCTGGCCGGGGAGAACACTCGTGGCTCTTAGAGGGAAACGCAGTGGGAGCCACGCGCTGTCATTTTCACCGAGCGTGGGCTCTGCGGCCGGAGGAGGGGGCTTCGGGGCGCTCCAGCTGCGGGGCTCGCCAGCGCGCGCGGGGACGCCGCGGCTCCCTTCCCCGGGTTCCCGCAGCGCCACGGGCGCTCTCGGGGGCCGCAGGGGGCTCCGGGGGGCGGTGGAACCCACGCCGGCGCGGCCGCCGCCAGTCCCGCCGCTGTTGTCGCTGCTGCAGTCACGTGGGCGCCCCTTTAAGTTTCCATAGAGAGGCCTCTCCGGTGTCACATGATGGACATGATATAATGAAACAACATCGTGGAGAGGAAAGCATTAGGGGAGCCCACGAAAACAAGTGAGTGACGAGAGGTGGGAGGAAGAGAAACTACGCCACCTCCCCGGCAGCCCAGCGCACGCAGCAGCCCGGCGCGACCGGGGGGGAACCGGGGGCCGGGGTCCCCAGCGCACATCGGGGACCCTGCCGCCCAGCTCGCGCACAACTTTGAGCCGGCGGCCGCGGCCGGCTCTGCACCTGCGTCCGGAGTCGCTCGCTGCCCGCCACCGTCCACGGGAAATTCTCCAAGCAGGCGCTCTGCAAATCGACCTGCGCATCATTTTCCCCTCGCGCCTCGCCCCGGGAGGAAGCGACGAGAAAAGGATCGTGGCAGCCTGTGAGCAGCCCGAGGTAAGTTCTGCAGGGTGCGGAGCCGGCCCAGCCGGACTTGGGGTGGGAACCCGACTCTTCGCCGAGATCCCGGGGCGGGGGGGAGGGGGCTGGAAGGGGCGCCCCCTCACCCCTGAGAGGCGGAGGGGGCCTGCTCGCCCCCTCCGCGGCATTCCTGCCGCTCGCCCGCCCGCGCTGCCCCCCGGACTCCGCGCCCCGGCTTGGGGGGCGCTGCGCCATGTCTGTGTGGCCACGCGCACCCCTGCGGTGGCTGCACGCGCGCGGCGCCCGAGCTGCGGCCGGCCGCGAGCGAGCGTGTCCCCATGTCCGCATTCCAGCTCATGTTGCGCAGATAAAATTCAAACTTGAGGTAAACAGACCAGGAGGAGGAGGAGGGCGCGGGAGGGGGGTGCTGTGTGCACTTGGACATCCCACCCCGTCACGCCGCTGAACCTGCGGCCAACTCTCGCCGTGCCCACGCGCCCACCTCTGCGGGCCACGAGAAATAGGGGCGGGGGGCATGCTGGCTGCTGGGGTCGCGGCGACTCGGGCCGCAGGAGGAGGAGCCGCCGCCCCTGGAACCCGAGCCTGGGGCTCCGACCCGGTTCTCGCCAGGAGGGTCGCGGGACGCCTCGGGTTGCCCGGGTGATGGCGGCGGGAGGGTCCGGCGTTCCCGGGTGGAGCGAGGGGTGCCTGTCCCCGCCGCCTCGTGACTTTGGGACGGGTGCCACGGAGCGCCGCTGCCCCCACCCCCCCAGGCGCAGTTTTCCCGAAGGCGGGTGGGTGGGGCTCCCGGTGCGCGGAGGACGCGGTGCGAGCAGGTGCGTGCGCCGAGCCTGGCTGCGGGGTAAGTCTGGTGCTTGCGGCGGGACGACGCGGGGAGTCTTAAAGCCAGCGCGCCGGCGGAGCTGCGGCTTCGGTTTGGGGTTTTCGCGTTTTTCCTTTTTTTGGAAATCAGGGAGGAAAAATCAAGACGGTGCAGCCCTCCCTCGCTCCCGTGGTAAATGTCTGTTTCCGTGCGCAGCTAGGCTGCTGCGTGACAGGCGCCGCGAGGGGTGCGGGCGAGCTTCGTCGGTGAGAATCGGGGGCTCCCGACAGCTCGGGCCGTCTCCGCCCCCCCGGCCCAGGCGGAAGGTGTGGGCCGGGTGGTCCGAGAGGGGGGCTGACGTCCCAGGCCGGGCGGGGACCGGCGCGGGAGGCCCTTCGGAGTGCGGGGGTCCGCAGCCCGCGCGGCCGGGAGGCGGCGGCGGCCACGTGAGGGGCTTGCGGGCCCAGCGCGCGCGGAGTCGTGACGGGGCCGGCCGCGCGGGGCCTCCCCCACAGCGCGGCGCCGGCGCGAGTCCGCGCGGCCGCGGGCGCCTCCCACGCAGGGCCGCGGGCGGGGCGCGCTCGCCGGCCTCTCCCTGGAGGCCGCTTCCGGGCGCGGCCCGGCTCCCGGCGGTAAACAGGGTGGCGCCCTCTGCCCTCCCGCCCCCGGCCAGCCGGGGAGCGGGCGCGCGCGGCCGGCGCCCGGGGCTGGGAGGCGCGGGCGCGGCGCCGGGCAGCGACGGCGGGGACGCGCGCCCGCTCCCCGCCGCCCCCGCGCACCCGCTCCCTGCGAGCCCCGGGCCACCCGCGCGCGCGCCGCCGCCGCGCCGGCTCCTGTGTTTTTGTTTTGGTGGAGCCCGCGTGCGGCTGGCGCGTGTCAAGTCACGTGCCGGGGGCGGAAGGGCCGGGGGCGGGCGGTGAGCGGCGTCCGCTGGGGCCGCGAGGCGGCGGCGAGGGTCGCGGGGGCCCCCTCGGAGCCCGAGCACGCGTGTCTCGCGCCGAGTTCAGTGACGCTGGGGTTCCTCGGTCTCCACGGCGAGGAGGGAGGAGGGCCTCGGTCCGCGCTGGTCCAGCGGACCCGACAGGTGTGTGCCTCCCTGTGGACGTGGGGAGACCTGTGCGCTCCTACGCCTGCTACACCTGAGCACCCGTACGGGGTCCTGTCCTGTCCCAGTCCCAGTCCCTGTCCCTGTCCTTGTCCCTGTCCCAGCCCTAGGCCAGTCGGATCTACTAAGGAGAGCTTGGCCAGTGCGTATTCCTACCCCGCCCCCTGTCATTTTTTCTGCGCTGTGCTGGGTTTGAGAACGTAACAGGTGACCAGCTTAAAGGAGCAGAGTCGAGAAACTGATCATCTTTAGGACAAAATCGCAATGTGCCCCGCGTTGGGAGCTGGTCAGAAAGGAGTCCTTGGCTGGTTAGTACCCAGGGAGGCTGACCCCAAACCCACAGTTTGAACCCTTAGGCTTGCTTGCCTGAAAACGTGCGTTTGCCCAAACGTGCGCCGCCTGTTTGTGAGACTTAGTGTTTGCCTGTGGGCCTGGGCGTTTCTGTGCGCCCAAGTGCCTCTCCACTGTTAAACTGGGAAGTTTTGCTTGTTTCCTTAAAAGTATTTTTTATTTCAAGGGCAGTGGTGTGTCTTCCATCCGCTGGTTCAGCTGATTTGCTCCCCGAATGGTGCTACCCGCCCCTAAGTTTTGCTTTTTTTTTTAAAGGGAGGGGACGCCCTTGGTGACTTCTGTAAGGCCTGTAGGCTTCTGTTTTAAGAAGATGGAATTGTTTGGTGGAGCGAGGAGTAATTTGGACAGATCAGCTTCCTGGAAGTTTAAAGTTGTGTAAAGTTGAAGAGGACTGAAGTTCCAAGTGTGTCTCACGTCGCCCTGAACGAGACGCTCCGAACGGAGCAGACGAACTTTCCACAGCAGTGAATTTGTTGGAGGGGGAATTAAAAAAAAAAAAAAAAAGCTCCGGTCTGGTGTGCAGAAGCAGCTTCCCTGTCTTCCTTCTCGCCTTGCTTTGTTTCTTTTGTCTCCTGGGCGGATAAACTCTTGGTGGAAACATGCAGAGGTGGAGCCATCCGTTTGTTTGGAAACTGTGTCCGTTGATATCTCTTGGAGAGACCAGATGGTAACAGGAGCGGAGGCTTCTCTGAGCGCAGTAGATACCCCTGCCAGTGTTTGTGGGAGTGGTATCTGTTAAATGGTCCTGTGTCATAAGGACCTTTCTTGATGCTTTTGCTAATATCTTCAGCCCCATGGCGGACGTGGGTGTGTTATTGTTAGGTACTGGATTGATTTTCACATGACTTGCAGTTTTGGTGAGAGAGTTTATAGACTCAGCCAGGCAAGCCGACGTGAACAGGGACAGCGGTGGTCGCAGGTGGAAGCGGCTCCTGCGACCTTCCTCTATTGGGTCACCAAGCAAAGCATCTGTTTCCAGCTTTGCCAAGCCACATGGGTTGCTTTGCATGACTTCCCATTTGGGTGCTTCCTCTAGGCAGTTTTCCTTGATTTCTCCTCAGAAACCCTTTAAAAGTAGCCTCCCCGTGTCCTCTCCATGTATGTTTATGGGGAAGATAAGTTTATCTTTGATAGAAGAAATTTCTGAATTCTGTGCATAGTCATTGAGTAATATGCATTGTACATGAACTTCTGGAAGACCCCTGTATGCATGGAGTTTTGCACCACAATCTCTAAGTTCTGGTTTTTTTTTTTTTCATGAATTTTTTTTGCATCACCCTCATACCTACTGTTCCAAGGTGTTTATCACAGCCTGACATGATTGTATTTGTTGTATATTGCAGCCTGCAGTAAATTGGAATCTTCGCAGGTGTGGATGGTGATTTTTTTTTTTAAATCTGTGTATCACTGGTACACAGTAAGCACTTAAGTTTATTGCATGGATCCCAGTTGAATTTACTCCCGCCTGAGTTGCGTTATTCATGTTGTAGTTAGGGTCACCCATCTTCATGCTGCCAAGTTAAAAACAGACATCCCTGAGGCCAGTGTTTTGGTATAACAGGTGAAGCCACTGCCTGGAATGCCAGCAGCCCGTACGGGTGCCAGTTCAAGTCCCAGCTGCTCCTCTTCCGATCCAGCTCTCTGCTATGGCCTGGGAAAGCAGTGGAAGATGGACCAGGTCTTTGGGCCCCTGCACCCACGTCCTTGGGCCCCTGTACCCACATGGAGACCCAGGAGAAGCTCTTGATTCCTAGCTTGTTTGGCCGAGCTCTGGTTGTTGCAGCCATTAGGGGAGTGAACCATCGGGAAGAAGACCTCTCTCTGTGTTTGTCTCTTCCTCTCTTTCTTTCTATAATTCTGCCTTTCAAATAAATAATCTTAAAAAAAAAAAAAAGCACACACACACCCTTACACAGAAAGTACAGACCACTGGTCACAGCATCAAGGACAAGAACTAAGTCTCTGGCTTGCTTCCCAGTTGCGTTTTCCACTGGCCCATCATACCGCGTCAGTTTTCTTGGCTGCTAATGTGCACTGGGGCTGCTCGGTGTTCCGACCACTTTTCATTGTATTTGGGAAGGAGGAAGTGGCATTCCTTACTGACCGATCTGCTGTTTTGTTACTACAGCCCAGTGCAGATCCTTCTCCGCCTCTCATCCCACCCGTGCCTGTATTAGCAGGGTGTTTGTAGAGCAGCGCCCTCCTGTAGTGCTTTCTGAGTCATAGAGGTGGTTTGTGCACTGCACTCTCAGGGTGGTAGCTGGCAGACACTGAGACGGTTAAGTGTCACATAGAACTGCGTTTCTAGTTGATTTGTGGGTAAAAGCTCTCAGCTGTTGTAGTGGACAGCACGGTGATAGAGGGTTTCTTCACATTTATATCTAGTATTCGACATGTAAACAGGCAAAGGTATTCTGCCTCTCAAAGAAAAGTCTTGGTTCATCTTGTAGGGCTTGACATCATGGCTCCCATGGGTGATGTTTTGACCCTTTGTGTGTTCTGAGAGCTTTTTCTATGGCCGTAGAAATAAAATGCAGATCCCGTGAGTTTAATCGGTGCCTTCCGAAGATGTATTTCGAGAGGCAGGGACTGTCTTGCTGGTCATGGTGCTTCCCACCTCGGAGTGCTCGTAAATGTTTGTTGAGTGCATGAATGATTGTTCCATGATTTCAGAGGCAGTACCGCCAAGCTGAGGGGAAGGCAGGCCCCCACTCTAACCACACGGGCTTTGCACACCTCCCGAGGGGTGCAGCCCCTGGAGGTCCCAGTGACCCCAGTGACTTTGCCCTGCTCCTGTAACACGGGTAGCAGGACTTGTTATCCTCGCTTGCTGATGGATTTGAGGGGCAAAGGCACACGAAGATTTGGTGCCTGTGTTGCGTGGAGAGTTGGAAGCATGAATCAATTTGAAGTCCTCATGACTTTTGCTTCCAGGAACTGGTTCGTGAATGCTCATTTTGAGGAAATAAAATGGCGCATGGACTATGCTAGTAAGAGAGTTTGGTCTGGAGAATCGAAGGTAATTTTCATCCAGTAATAGAGTCTGAAAAGCTACTGGAACTGTTTCCCATGGCATAGCGTTGAGAAAACAGCTTCACTATGCAAAGCAGGAATGGAGACATTTGTTCCCTAAGCCTCTAAGTCTCTGCCTGTGGCAACCCTGACACCCAAGTTACAAGCTTCACCACGAGGGTATTTAAGAGGTAAACAGAAGCAGATGTTTAATTGTGCTGATCACTATGGCTAGACAGACGTATGTGTATGGAAAGGTATGAGACCGTCAGACGTCTGCTTCGAAGGAGAACTCTTGTTCTAAGGCCGCAGCTGGTCTGCTCTCTGTCCTGGGCACCGACACCCCTGCTCTGTGTGTGGTTGACTCTAGGCCTGTCTTCATCCGCAGCGGCTTGTTTCCAGGGCGTGCTGTCTTCCTTCCATTCTACCACAAATGAAAACTAGTTATTGAGTAATAAAACACACTGGGAAATACAGATCTGTTGTCTGCAAAAAAACAAAAACAAAAAAAGGTCCCAGCATACGTTCCGAGGTAAATTATGAAATCGTGGAGAGGGGACTTCTGTTTTAAGAAATGTCTGGTCTGTAAGTCTTTTTATGGTTAATTTTCCTAACACCTTTGGTGTGGAACTTTTTGGTGGGGCAAAAAGAAAAAAAAAGCCCTCACGTACAACACTCAATCATGGCTTCCATCAGTTCCCACTGTTGCCCTTGAAACCAAACCGAAACACAACAGTAGTAAGACACAGCCCAGGGCTGCTAGTAGCAACCAGAATTAATGGAACAAATTCTGAAAAGCTTGTGGGATTTGAGTTGTTACTTTGGTGAAGAGCTCAGTCATATGGATTTTGCTTTTTTTTTTTTTTTTTGAAGCTCAATATAAGTTATGACCAAACTGTGTATCTGCCTGAGTCTAAGTCTTAGTGATGGTAGTGAATAGTGCAGGTGGTCCAGATGCCTTTTGCCTGAAGGATTCTTTGGGACTCCTTGGGCTCCAGTATATGGCGTCAGAACGATCTTTGAGACTATTGACCATTTCTCCTGAGCGAGGTCACGAACTCCATGAAGAACTTGCAGTGGTTACTGGTTACTGGCTGCCTTCTTTCTCCTCAGTGGACTGGCTGCATTGCAGAGGGGTTCTTAGACTTCAGTGTGTGTCAGCATCACTGATGAGCTCTGGTTTGTAGGTCTAGGGCAGGCCTAGGAATGTGCATTCCTACAGGGTGTAGGTAATGTTGCTCAGACAGAGGCCCGCACTTGAACTGTTGGGTAAGACTGTCTCTTCTGAAGTTTTATGATCTATCTTCCTTCCTTCCTTCCTTTTTCTTTCTTTTTTGTTTAAAGATTTGTTTATTTGAAAGGCAGAGCAACAGAGAGAGAGAGAGACAGAGATCTTCCATTCGCTAGTTCACTCCCCAGTTGGCAGCAACACTGAGGGCTGACCAAATCTAAGAACTCCATCTGGGTCTCCATGAACCATCATCCGCTGCCTTCCCAGACGCATTAGCTGGGTTGGAAGCGGAGCATCAGGATTCACATTGCACTCTGTGTGGGATGCTGGTATTGTTCAAACTGCTGTACCACGATGGCGGGACCCTCTCTGCCTGTTGTTTCAAACCCTTTTCAAGTTGTGGGACGTAACGTAACTTGATTTCTCTAATATTATGTTTTTAAAAAATTGCTATATGGCAGACTGAGTTTAAAATGGATTAAATTTTGAGAGTGTATTTAGAATTCCATGTATCTTCCCAAAACCTGGGGTCTGTTAAAATGCAGACTGGGTATTAATTAGACTTAATTAGAAGTCCCCGGATAAAAATATGTTGGGATGTTTCTACGAGAAGGCTGTTAGCCACTCCAGAAACCCAAATGTTGTATTAGATTTGAACGAGCACCTTGCTAGCCTCTTAACGTACAGCTGTGGAATATGATGCAGCATGTTATAAAACTGGGGGCTCCCTAAATAAAATGATTTTCGTGAGACAGAGCTGTTGTCCTAGGCCACAGCGGACTGTGACAGCATTAACTTGGATGATCCCTGAAGACCCTGCCACACGGTTCAGTCACGGCTGCAGGATGGCTCACCAGTACATCAGAGACTGTGGTTCTTTATTTTTGAGGCGCTCTGGGGGACAGGGCTGGTTCTGCACTTGCTGAATAAGGGGGCTCTGGGACTGGAGTCCAGTAGGAAGTGGCGGGTAGGGGTGCCTGAAGATCGTCTTAAAGGAGCGCTTGCCTGAGAAGCACAGGTGTATAATGGTGAGGGGGCTGTGGGGAGGCTTTGGCAGGGATTCCAAGGCGTGCTACAAGGGCAGGTGAGGCCCTGGACATATTGCAAGTGCAACCAGACTCCAGGTGCAGAGTCAGAGGCTCTCAGCTTTGAGGTGAGTTGAAGTGAGGTTTGACGGTATGTTCTAATATGAAGAAAAAAAAAAACAAAAACAAAACTCACACTTCGTGGGGCAAATGTACACAGCCATGCATCGCTTACTGATGGTACCAGTGTGGCGAAAGCATCATTAGGAGCTCCCGTCATTGCAAGAACACTAGAACACACCCGGACAAGCTAAGACGGCTGTGGTGTCTCCAGGCAATAGAATCTCACAGGACCACTGTTGGCCCGTGTGGTCCGCTGTCAACCCAGATGTCTCTGTGAGGCACGTGACTTCCAGAGAGCCTCATCTGAGAGCAGGAAAATAGAACAAGAAACAGGTGAGACGTAGGCAGTGGGAGGATAAAAAATGCAATTTCTTAAAGGAGTTTTTAAAGGGGAACTTTTACAGACATCCTGCGTCAAGACAGCATGGTCTTCTCTGTTAGAAAAAAAAAAATGAATGAATGAGCTTTCCTTCTCATTTCCGATGAATACTTCCAAATACCACCAGATGCTACGATTTGACTTATATCAAATGCATTTCCAAAGTGAGGCCCAGAATTCATGCAGTGCTTACATTTTTAGATTGCTTTATGATCGTTATCTTGTTTAAATCAAGTTTCTGGAAGGCGCCCATGCTGCTTAATCCTGAGTGTGTTTTATGGATTAGGATACAAATCATTTGTATAGCGCAGGCTACAAGGCTGGGCGGAGGCCATGAGAACTCAGTGTCTTTCACGTCTTCAAGTTTTAGTTGTAGAAATTTTGTATTTTTTTTTAACTGCTTTTATGAAATAGTTGAACCTTCAAACCTTAGAGTTGGAATGGAATTGCCATGGAATTGATTTTAAGCCATGTTTCAAGGGTGCAGTCTTTGATTTGGATCTGCCTTTGTGAAGAACTACGCGTGGGTTCCCACCCAGGCCTGCTGTCATTTCTTGACTCATATCTGTGACACACCATCTTTGTAACAAACCCGGGCAGCGGTTTTGAATTCCGGCCTGGCATTTTGGGCCTGGCCTGGCAGTCTCCCTGGGGGCTTGAGACCACCAGGAGCTGCTGTCCTGCAGTGACTCTTATCTTTCTTGGGATTTGTTCCCCTTCAGCACCCCCCACCCCCCGTAACTCTGCCTTTCAAATAAATAAACAAAAAGGCAAAATTGTGTATATAGAGAGAGAGCACGAAAGCACTTCCATCCACGAGTTCACTCCTTAAATGGCCACAGTGGCCAGGGCTGGGCCAGGCTGAAATCAGGAGTCAGGAGTTTCATCTGGGTCTTCCGCATGAGTGGCAGGGGCTCAGGCATTTGGACTGTCTTCCTTGCTTTCCCAAGTGCACTAGCTGGGAGCTGGATCAGAAGTAGAGCAGCCGGGATACCATATGGGATGCCGATGATGCACGTGGCAGCTTAAGCGGCTATATCACAGCACCAGCCCCAATAAATAAATCTTAAAAAAAAAACCACTTCTGTAATTTATTTGTTCGTTTATTTATTTGAAAGGCCGGGCAGGGGAGGAGGGGAGAGTTTGATAGATATCTTACATCCTTTGGTTTATTTCCACACCAGCTGGAGCTGGGACAGGCTGAAGCCAGGAGCAAGGAATTCCACCCAGGTCTCCCACGTGAGTGGCAGGGGCACAAGCACTTGGACCATGATCCCCTGCCTCCCTGGGTGTGCACTAGCAGGGAGCTGGGTTAGAAGTGGAGCCAGGACTTGGACCCAGATCAGGGTGTGAGTGTCCCAGGTGGTGACGTAACAATTGCACCAAATGCCTGTTCCCCTTCCTGTGCTTGTCTTTAAGTTGTTAAAGACACTTCATATGTTTTTCTGTTTTCTTTCTCTCTTTTAAAATAGTTTCTTATTTATTTGAAAGGCAGAGTGACCAGGGTGGGGATGGGGACAGATAACAGACACCACCCTCCTTACACACACACACACACACACACGCACACACACACACAGAAAACGTCCATACATTGGTTCACTCCCCAGATGACACAACAGCTAGGGCTGGGCCAAGCTGAACTCAGGAGCCTGGAACTCCATCCAGGTCTCCCACCTGGTAGCAGGGGCCCACGTACTGGAGCCATCGCCTGCTGCCTCTCAGGTGCATCGGCAGGAAGCTGGATTGGAAGCTGGGTAGCCGAGACTGGAACTGGCATTCCCTTGTGGGGTGTGGGTGGCACGAGCAGTGCCCCCCCGCCCCACCATGTCTTTTTTCTCTCACACAGCGAGACCAGTGCTTGAGTGGCCACATCTTGTCTTTGCCCTCTCACATCCTTTCAAGTTCCCTTCTTGCAACCCCTGGCGTTTCTCTTTCACAGCAGCGCGCCCACCTCTGCTTGGCTGGAGACCCCATGTGAATTTCCTCAACGGTCCCACTGTCACGTTCTCTTCCCCTGCCTTTTCCTGTTGGAATGGTGCTTTCCGTGCCGTGGCCGATATTTCTCAGTTTATTGGACACAACTTCGAGGTAGAATAGTGCTCCTTGCTGTAATGACTCATGGCCATTTGGGATACCAGGTTTCCCTGTATTCCAACCAGCTGGGCATCCTGGGGACAGCATCCGAGTCTCTGTTCTCATCTGTAACATGAGGGGTTGGGTGAAGAAGGTCTAACTGGGGTGGAGTTTATTCGTATACTGGTGTGGCTGTAGCCCCCCCAGAAGTACTTGAGTGTTTTGAGAGGTGGTCTCTTCATCAGGGCAGATTCTCTGTGTGGTCCCAGGGTGAGCAGCCCAGGGCTCCCTAAATTAGACGCCTGCAGCGTGGCCGTCCCGCCTTGTCCTCCGGGAGTTAGGGATGGGTTTGCCGGAGTACCCTTTTCTGTATTGTGTTTTCTGTACCAGGAGCCCTGTTGATTGGAATTTGGAAGGTTCTGTTGTTTTCGTCTTCATTTAAAGACCTCATATGAGTGGTTTGGGGAGTTTCTGGAAACCTGCTTCTACTAATTCTTGTACAGCTCACTTTGAAAAAATGCTACCGCAGCTGTTTTCTCTTGCCGAGTTTTTTGCACATGGCCTGTGACCTTGAGCGCTCGTGTCCCATTTCTAGGGGAATTTTTGTTAGTATGCGCTGAATCTTTTTTGTTATGTTCACAGCTACACCAAAGCTACTTATCTGTCCATTGTCAAGGCCGCTGAAAATTGTTTTGCTTTCTGCCTTTAAACCGATGTATCATGCAGTCACTGCACGTATCATCCATTTGTACAGATCTCCGGTTATCTTTTTTTGTTTATGTTTCCAGAGATTAATTATCGCCGTGCTCAGAACACTCCGTCATCACTTTTGTCCTTACTGCTGCTCCTATTCCTTTCGCTTTTCCTATTTTTTTAGCTTTTCAGAATTTTCTAGTACTTTTCACAAGTTCTTTTCCGAAGAGAATTAATGATGACTTTCTGGTTTTTAGCAGTTATTACCTGAAAATGCACGTACTGATAATAACAAGTGAAAGGTTTCTTTTTCTTTTTTTAAATACCATTCATAGCCTATCTTTGGAACTTATCTTTAAAATCTGTGGTTTACTTTATGCCTTTTAGCTTGTGAAAAATTACTGGACCTAAGCATTGATATGCTTCTGTGATTTTCTTGGAAAAAGATAGCAAAGTCACTCCCTTTTTTAAAAAAAGATTTATTGATTTATTTTAAAGGCAGAGTTAGAGAGGGCGAGTGAGCGAGATCTTCCCTCTGCTGGATAACTTCTCAAATGGCCACAACAGCCAGGACTGTGCCAGGCCAAAGCTGGGACCCTGGACCTCCATCTGGGTCTCCCATGTGGGTGGCAGTGCCCAAGGACTGGGGCCATCTGCTGCTGCTTGCCCAGGTGCAACAGCGGGGAGCTGGTTGGGAAGTGGAGCAGCTGGGACTCAAACCGGTCCCCATATGGGATGCAGGCATCGCAGGCAGCAGCTTAGCTCACTGTACCACAGTGCTCCCCCCTGCTCCCATGTTCAGAGTGTCGTAAATTAAGATTCCTTCCTTTACTAAATTATTTCTTCTGACAAAGGAACATAGGGTTTTTTTTCTTTGCCATGTCTCTCTCTCTCTCTCTGCCTGTTTGACAGGCAGAGTGGACAGTGAGAGAGAGAGACAGAGAGAAAGGTCTTCCTTTGCCGTTGGTTCACCCTCCAATGGCCGCTGTGGCCAGCGCGCTGCGGCCGGTTCCGAAGCCAGGAGCCAGGTGCTTTTCCTGGTCTCCCATGGGGTGCAGGGCCCAAGCACTTGGGCCATCCTCCACTGCACTCCCTGGCCACAGCAGAGAGCTGGCCTGGAAGAGGGGCAACCGGGACAGAATCCAGCGCCCCAACCGGGACTAGAACCTGGTGTGCCGGCGCCGCAAGGTGGAGGATTAGCCTAGTGAGCCACGGTGCCGGCCGCCATGTCTCTTTGTTACTCCCTAACAAGTCGTTTGGAACAAGGATTTACTAGGTTTAGTGAATCCATATCCTATTTAGTCATTTCATATCATTTGCAGAATATTTGCAAAGTTCATGCCTTTAAAAAGTAAAAGGTCATTTGGGGTTTTTTAAAAAAGTCTTATTTATGGGGCCAGCAGTAGGTTAATCTTCCACTTGCGATGCTGGCATCCTGTTTGGATGCTGGTTCTGGTCCTGGCTGCTCTTCTTCCGATCCAGCTCTCTGCTGTGGCCTGGGAAAGCAGTAGAAGATGGCCCAAGTCCTTGGGCTCCTGCACCCGCGTGGGAGACCTGAAAGAAACTCCTGGCTCCTGGCTTTGAATCAGCCCAGCTGATTGTGGCCATTTGGGGAGTCATTCAGCGGATGGAAGACCTCCCTCTGTCTTTCCCTGTCACTGTCTGTAACTCCACCTGTCAAATAAATAAGTAAAATTTTTATTTTCAAAAGAAAGACTTATTTATTTGAAAGAGCGTTGGGGGTGGGGTGGGGGTGGGGGAAGAGATCTTCCTTATTCTGGTTTACTCCCCGAATGACTGCACCAGCTGGGACTGGGCCAGACTTAAGTCAGGAGCCAGGAACTCTCTCCTGGTCTCTCATGTGGGTGGCAGAGACCCTAGTATATGGACCATCCTCCACTTCATTAGCAGGGAGCTGGATTGGAAGAGGACCATCCAGGACTCCAGATGGTGCTGAAATATGGGATGCGGCCATTGCAAGCTGCGTCCTTAGCTCCCTGTGCCACAGTGCCCACCTATTTGGAATTCTGAACAACAGAAATGGCCAAACAGAATTGCTGTAAGGTTTTTAACTGGTTATCCATATGCAAAAGCATGCTGTGTAGTAGCTGAATAGCTTTTGCTCCGATGTGTGGTTGTGGTGGTGGCTTGGGATCCTGTGCTCAGTCTGTGTCTGTGTGGTCTCAGCCTCTCTCTCTCTCTCTCTCTCTCTCTCTCTCTCTCTCTCTCCCTCAAAGGTTTATTTACTTATTTGAAAGAGTTAGGGAGAGAGAGAGAGAGAGAGAGAGAGAGAGAGATCTTCCATCTACTAGGTCACTCCCCAAATGGCTGCAACAGTCAGGTCTGGGGCAGGCTGAAGCCAGGAGCCCAGAGCTTCATTCCGGTCTCTCATACGGGTATTGGAGGCCCAAGCACTGGGCCATCTTCTGCTGCTTTCCCAGGCCATAGCAGAGAGCTGGATCAAAACAGGAGCAGCCGGGACTTGAACAGGAGCCCATGTGGGATGCTGGCACCACAGCTGTGGCTTAACCCACTGCGCCACAGTGCTAGCCCCTGGTTTCAGCTTCTTAACCCAGACAAGGGCCATATACTGTGGACAAGTAAAACCATGGCAGCGTCCCTGGACTGAAAGGCCCACGTTCTGCCTGTAAGTTGTTTTTTTCCAGTGCTGAATTATAACCGTGTGAGTATACCCGCGTGGCACCTGCTGGAATGTCGCTGTCGGTCACTGTGCTCTTTGGGAATGAGAGCTCCAGGCTCGGGCAGGATTCCTCTTCACCAGCACGTCTGGCCTCGGACGTTGTGGGTAAACTGTCTAGTGCGTGTTGGGTTCCACCCTGGAATCCTGCTAATCCTCCACATGGAGTCTCAGGGAAGGCACAAGTAAACAAGTTCCCGCTGGGTATACTTTCTGTCCAAAACGAAACAAAGGAAAACAAATAAAAAGGCTTAACAGTGTCTGGAATCCATTGGAAATTTCTGTGGGCTGCCGGTGCACCGGGGCCCTGGCACGCGGGCTCTTTCTCTTCTGTTGCGACTCCTTTCCTTCTGCATTCCTCACTCAATTTCCTTCCTTTTTGGGTTGTTTTCTGTTTCTTCTGTTCTCCCATTGCTGGTAGACATAGCCCAGAGACATCCTGCCGCACGGCAGGCCTTCTTTGAGCCTCCCGGGTGGCAACGCAGATGTCGGTCTGCAGAATTCTGTGATGGTGCAAACTTTACTATGAGGCTGCTTCAAACAGTTCACGGAAGATGGAGTTTAAAGATGAGTTCATTATGATGCCAAAAATGTTTAAGTCCGTGCATGTGAGGGGTCTTTGAGAAGTTCACAGAGAAGGCGTATTACGAAAGCGCTGGGGCACAGTGGGTTAAGCCGCCACTTGGGACACCTGCACCCCGTATCTGAGTGCTGGTCCCAGTCCCAGCTGCTCCTCCTCCGATCCAGCTCCCTGCTAATGTGCCTGGGAAGCAGCAGATAATGACCCCACTATTTGGGCCCCTGCCACCCATGTAGGAGACCAGGGTGGAGTTCCTGGCTCCTGACTTCAGCCTGGCCTAGCCTGGCTGTTGTGGGTTTTTGGGAAATGAACCTGGGCATGGAAGATCAACATTCTCTCTCTCTGCCTCCCCCCACCCTCTTTCTTCCATTCCTCCTTCTCTCTATCACTCTACCTTTCAAATAAATAGGTAAATAGATCTTAAAAAACATGCATGGGTTTTAAAATTCAGTTTTTTGTGTTGCAGACTCTCAGTGGGTATCTTTGGGGGGTCCCACAGTTGCTTCCAATTGTAAATGCAGAGGACAAAACCTGTCCTCCTCCCACCTCCTCTCCTGCATTCTGCTTTCACTTGGGAGCACCTGGAACTTGGCGGCTTTGTCCGTCTTCCGAACTTCACCAGGTCCTGCGCTGCCTTGCTGTGTGCTCGCTCGCCTTGCCTCCGCCCTGGGTGGGGCTTTCACTAGTTTCTGACAGTGTTTCAGCTGCCTCCTGGTTCCCAGCCATGCTTGCTGGGACCAGCATTCTCTGAGCCTGGGAGCTGCTGCAAACTCCCGACTGATCTCCTGATGCCTGTGGGGTTCAGTGCAGGGCTTTACCTTGGCATTCAGTGCCCTGCTGGGCTCCTGTGCAGAGGATCAATCGAGCTACGAGAAAGTCCTTTGAAGCTTTGCAAAAAATAAATGAGTAAAGTAATATTTAGTTTTTTTGTGAACTTTTTGAAGGTAGCCTTACATGTTTATTATTCCATGCTGAATGGAAAATAGATGGGAAATGTATAATTTTCCGAGCTCCTGGGGGTGGCTCAGCAGGTGTTCAGGGAGGTTTCAGGCTGCAGGTTAAGGGATGTTCTGCCACAGTTAGGCACTAATAATCGAGTAGGTGTGAATTTCAAGGTTCTTTCTACTTCAGAAGTCTTTGAATAAACAAAAATGTCATTTGGGTTAACATAAAGTTCTCAAATTGCGTAGAACTGTGATAGAGTTCGGTACTGAAAAATGTGACAGTCTCATCTCTATCAGATACGTAAGTGTACCCTTGTCAAGGATCAGAGGACAAGGGCCTTGGAGAGCATTGAGTTCAGTCTTGTTTTCCGACTCAGACAATTAACTTTACACACTGTGACACACGTCTGCTGAGCTCTTGCGCCATAGTATCCATTTCTGCCTCTGCGTTAGGAGATTGAGAAGTGACATGGGCAGAGTGTTTGGAGGGCTAAAGCGAGCATTTGCTAAACTCCCTTGGCTGTGAGGGGTTGGACCAGGTGTTGACAGGCCTCTTTGGATCCTAGCTTTTGGAGCATTGTATCTTTTTTTTTTTTTTTTTTGGACAGGCAGAGTTAGACAGAGAGAAAGACACACAGAGACAAAGGTCTTCCTTTTTCCGTTGGTTCACCCCCCAAGGGGCTGTTGTGGCGGGCGTGCTGCGCCGATCCGAAGCCAGGAGCCAGGTGCTTCTCCTGGTCTCCCATGGGGTGCAGGGCCCAAGGACTTGGCCCGTCCTCCACTGCCTTCCCGGGCCACAGCAGAGAGCTGGACTGGAAGAGGAGCAACCGGGACAGAATCCAGCGCCCCAACTGGGGCTAGAACCTAGGGTGCCGGCACCGCAGGTGGAGGATTAGCCTAGTGAGCCACGGCACCGGCCGGAGTGTTGTATCTTAAAAGGCCTCTCCCAGGTCCTTGATGTACTCAGGGGAGAGAAACGAGCTGCTTCCTGTCATCCGTGTACGAGGTTCTGGCTGTGTTGAGTGGACGGTGCCGTTCCTGTTTTGCAGTGAGTGGCACTTCTGTTTCTTCTTGCTGCTGAACCACACTTCCGCCTACCCCGTTCCCGGACACAGGTTGCCGCGGGGATCAGGTGTCGCCCTGGCGGACAGGTCTTCCGGGGTTTCACACCAGTGAGGGGTGAGCGGGTACCACGCAGGAATGGTGCACGGACAATTGCTGGCGCTTTCTATGCTTGCAGTCCGAGGGACTTATGTTGCCATACAAAAAAAAAAAAAAAAAAAAAAATGTTAGAGAGGGTTGCCGCTTGAACTTATTTGGAGTTGTGGAACAGGTTTTTCCGTTCCCAGGAGGGTATGCAGGCGCTGGTGGCGCTTGTGCAGATGATCTGGAAGGATGGGGAAGACGGCAGTGAGTTTCCAGTACGGGCCACCAAGGTGAGACTGCACACGTTTCCTAGCTAGCTGGGCAGTCGCTTGCCCACTGCTTGGCTGCCGGGCCCATGTCCTCCTTTTGTAGGAGGTGGGTGTCCTGCACTGCGCCAGGTGCTGTGGGGGGTTGCAAGGATGGCACTCACCCTGGGCTTTGTCCTCTGGCTGGGTGCCATGTAAGGGGCTGCCCCAGTGCCCTCTGCTGGGAGAGGGAAGGAGGAAGCACCTGGCGCAGTGCAGGACACCCACCTCCTATAAAAGGAGGACATGGGTCCGGCAGCCAAGCAGTGGCCCTGAGGGGCTGTGAAATTGCAGCAGGGTCAGGGACTGGGCACCTTCGGAATTTTCTTTTGGGAGAATGCAAGGGAAGTGGTTGGGCTAGGTTAGGACACAGGCTTGGGACTGGGAAATGGCCAGTGTAGGTTTTATCTTTATGTTACAGAAAGAGAGAGAGAGAGAGAGAGAGCGCTCCCACCTGCTGGTTCACTCCCTAAATGGCTGCAATGGTCTAGGCTTGGGGGCTGGCTGAGGCTAGAAGCCAGGACTTTTGTCTGGGTCTCCTACATGGGTGACAGGGGCCCAACTGCCTTGGCCATCTTCTGCTGCTTGCCCAGGTTCATCAGCAGAGAGCTGGATCGGAAGTGGAGCAGCTGGGATACAAACCAGTGCTCCTATGGGATGTTGGCGCTGCAGGTGGCGGCTTAACCTGCTCAGCCACAGTGCTGGCCCCTTTATTTTTATTTTTAAAGTTTTATCTACTTGAAAGAGTGACAGAGGAGTTGAAGTGGGGGGAGAGAGAGAGAGAAAGAAAGAAAGAGAAAGATAAATTGATCTTCCATCTCCTGGCTCACTTTCCAAATGCCTACAATAGCCAGGGCTGGGCCAGGTGGAAGCCAGAAGCCAGGAGCTCCACCCGGGTCTTCCATGTGGGTGGCAGGGCCCCAAGCTGTTGAGCCGTTACCTGCTGCCTCCCAGGGCGTGCATCAGCAGGAAGCTGGGTCAGAAGCAGAGGTGGAACTAGATCTCAGGCACACTGATACGGGACGCAGGTGTCTCAAGCCGCAACTTAACTTGCTGCACCACAGTGTCTGCCCCTTGTCTATAAAAATCAAACAGGTCTGGCACGACGTGTATCGAATGAGTCAGTGGGATGACAGTCTCGAGCTGCAGAAACTGGCTTATATGTATGTAGCGTCATATGTAGCCATAAAAATAGAATCAGGAAGTTCTTTGTTTCCCAATATGCTGTGTTCTCAAAGATACAATCTTAAGTAGGAACAAGGCATAGAAGAATGTGAAAAAGAGAATGTATCAATGTTTGCTTATATATAGGTCCATGGTTTCCGGAAGCATGGGGAATGAACTAGATTTCGTGCCTTGGAGAGAGGAATTAGGTGGCTGGGGCCCAGGGACATCCTCCCTGAACGTCCTTTTTGACTTTGCCCTCTTGAATTGGGTTTTGGATCATTCATTAGAGTCGTATGTTGTTGCTATTGTTAGTTCAGTGGTGTGCAGGAGGATCTTCACCCAGTTATCTTAAAGACATTTGGAGAATGAGACAGGAAGCAAAGAAGACGGGAGGAACATTCTCACGCTTTCTGTTTTTGGAGGTGTCCTAGGCCATCAGGCTGCTGGGACAGGTCGCCATAGGCCAGGCGGCTTACAAACCACGGGAATCATTTCTCCCAGTTCCGGAGGCTGGAGGAGCCAGACCAGAGCCGGGGCACTGGCAGATTCTGTGTCTGCCAAGGACCGGCTTCCGGGCTGCTCGGATGGCGCCGCCTTGCTATGTTTTCACAGGGCAGAGAGGAAGCAAACCCTCAGGACCTGACCAGGACACTGAGCCCTCATGACCTGGACTAATCCTGGGCCCTTCCCGCACGCCCCACCGCCCAGCACCATCGAATTAGCAGATAGAGTTTCAACCTAGGGTTTGGGCTGCAGGCAGCATTTGGTCCCTAACAGAGGGAAGCATTCTGTTTGCTCCACCAAATGGAAAGGAGATGTGTGTGGTGTAAGAGGTTTTTTTGTTTGTTTGTTTGTGTGTGTGTGTCTTTTTTTTTTTTTTTTAGGAGCTGCTAGTGGGAGAGAGGAAAGACTTGAGGGGAGCTAGTGCCCAGTAAGTGTGTGAATTTCTTTCTTTCTTTCTTTAATATTTTTTTGAGAGTTAGAGCTATAAGCAGAAGGAGAGACAGAGATCTTCCATCCTCCGGTTCACTCCCCAGATGGCCATAATGGCCGGGACGGGGACAAGCCGAAACCAGGAGACAAGAGCTTCCTGGTCTCCCACGTGGGTGCAGGGGCCCAAGGACTTGGGCCATCCTCCACTGCTTCCCTGGTGCATTAGCAGGGAGCAGGATTGGAAGTGGAGCAGCTGGGACCTGAACCGGCGCCCACATGGGATGGCAGCACTGCAGGTGGAGGCTTAACCTTTTATGCCACAGCGCCAGCCTAAGTGCGCAAGTTTTACAGGAAAAAGCACAAAGGAAAATGTAGGGGAAATCTGTTTATTATTCTTGGAGAAAGGGATGCTTGTGTCTTCTTCCCTTGAAGGAGAAACAAGAAGTTTGGAGTTTTGTTTTCAGTAGAAAAGTACAGAAGGCAGCAGATGGGGCTCAGTTTACCTTGTGGATGCATCATGCTGCCTCTGATAATAAAAGGTGATGAGTGCATCAGAAAGCTCTGAGTCAAAATGAGCATTGAGAAGTACCGTTCTTTTCAGTTTTTTTCATTTTTTTTAAATTGGAGTCATTGAAATAATTTGATAAAAAGGTGTTTATTTTTATTTGAAAGGCAGAGTGACAGAGATCAGAAGCAGAGCAGTCTAGACTGGAACCTGGAGCTCTGGTAGGGGATGAGGGTGTCCTTAGGGCCACAGCAGAGGGCTGGACTGGAAGAGGAGCAACCGGGACTAGAACCGGCGAGGGGCGATTCACGACCAAACCCGCCCCTGTGTTTGTTTGTTTTAAAGATAGATTCTTGGATTTTTACTGAAGTTGAGGCAACATTTACAAGCAAAATCTTGAGTAAATTCTAGAAATCCAGATTCTTCCAGTTGATCACGATTTGATTATTGCGTGTGAGGGTTTTATGTCCCGTCACGCAGCGCTGAACGTGCTTCCTGAAAGCTGTGTTGGGTGACTCTGTCGTGTAACCATCCGAGGGTCACGAGGTGACAAACTTGATGACCACCGTGTGCCCCTTTGCTGACAGATGGTTGCATCACGTGTCACATGACCAACCTCAGAGTGAGTGTCTCTGGCAGCTACCCTGTGAATTACGGCTTCTCAGTGGTTTGAGACATGTTGCACAAAGGGTTAAAGTTAATCCCAGAAAGAACTCGGCCAAATCTCTCTATGATTAATACAGAGCTATCGATCGGCACTTGGTGCCTCTTCTCTGGGAGGCCTCTGCTGATTCATCAGTGCTGAATGGCTCCCAGTGTCCATTAGGCATCCTGTGGTTAATGCAGACGGATGATCTCCCCTTGATAGATGCTTCTGGAAGTTCTTTTGTAAAACAGGATTTAGTTGGGGTGCTGAGGCATAGCGGGTTAGGCTGCTGTCTGCAGTGCCGGCATCCTGTCTGGGCACTGGTTCGAGTCCTGGCTGCTTCACTTTGATCCAGCTCACTCCTAATGCACCTGAGAGAGCAGTGGAGGAAGACCCGAGTCCTTGGGCCCCTGCAACCACAGGGGAGACCCAGAAACAAAACTCCTGGCTTCGGCCTGGCCCAGCCCTGGTGATTGGGGCCACGCGGTGAATGAACCAGCAGATGGAATGTCTCTCTTTTTTTTTTCCTCTCTCTCTACCTCTCTTGCTGTAATTCTGACTTTTAAATAAATAAATCTTGTTAAGAAGATTTCATTATTTTATTTGAAAGGCAAAATGATAGCAAGTAAGGGAGTAAGGGAGGTGCGGCTGTGTCTGATTCTGACCCAGCTCCCTGCTCATGCACACTGGGAAGCAGCAGATGATGGTTCAAGTACTTGGGCCCCTGCACCCACATGGGACAACTTCATTGGCTGCTGGTTTTGACCTGGCCCAGTTCTGGCTGTTGTGGGCATTTGGGGAGTCAACCCAAATCTTCCAGCGGATGGAAGGTGTGTGTCTCCCTCCCTCCCTCCCTCTATCCCTCCTTCCCTCTCTGCCTCCCTCTCCCTCCCTCTCTTCTTCCTGCTTTTTGAGTAAAGTAACACATAAAGCTTAAAAAACAAAGAAAGAGTGGTAGGTAGTTCTGTTTGGCCTTCAAGAGAGAGGAATTCAGCAGACCGTGTATCAGCATACCGCATGCGACTTTGCAGGTGAGGAAGTCGGGTTTGGTGAGCTCATTCAGCTGATGGGGACTCGGAGAGTGGCTGAGCTGACCTCGGGTTGCACACCCCACCATGCTGATGTGCAGTGGGAGATGGGCTGTGGCTTCCTGTGGGCTTGTTGAAAGGAAACAGTTTGGATCATGACTTGATGGAGGTACAGATGAGACGCGGGCTTTGTCTCTCTCACTCTCTGCCCTCCTCTTTTCATTCTCCTTTCCTCCCCTTACTCCACTCCCACCCCCTCAAAGAAAGAAGATGGGGAGGACTGCACAGTGTTGGTCTTTGCATCTCATTGTGGGGATGTGATGGGGGCTGTTTCCACTCCAGGGGTTGTTTTGCCTGAGGCCCTGGGCCAGTCACCTGAAGCCGGAGCATCCTTACTGTAGTGTGGGGAAACGGAGTTAATTCTGCTCTTTCCTTTGTGGTCAGCGCTGTAGGCCAGGAGCCCCCATGCCAGATAGGTTACAGTCGAAGTACCACCGCTGCTGCTGCTCGGTGAGTGGGAGGCAGCCTCGACTCTGCTCTCATTCCCATCCGACAGAGGAGAAGATCAAGGCCTAGAGAACCGTAGGCCGGGGACCCAACTCCAGAGCCAAGAGCAGCCTTGGCCACTATGTGAACAGGGCTGCTTGTCATGTTTCAGCTCCGTTCGCCTCAGGTTTTCCCCAGAAACACCACGTGGTCATTCTGAGACACCTGATCTTGCAGATGAACACTTAGGAAACAGGGCTATCGTTAGGCTATTGAAGGAGGAACTGTTAGGATAGTTACTTTTCAAAGATTGCGGAAGCATTTCATCTGGAGGATAGGCATAAACGTTCTTAAAGTTCTCTAAAAAACAAAGGATAATACAAAGGAAACCCATTCATTATTTTATATTATTTTATCCACTTTTTAAACGATATGTTTATTTAACTGAAAGGCACAGTTAGAGAGAGAGAGAGATCCTCCATCTGCTGGTTCACTCTCTAAATGACCACAATGGCTGGGACTGAGCTGGTCTGAAACCAGGAGCCAGGAGCTTCTGGGTCTCCCACGTGGTGCAGGGGCCCAAGGACTTGGACTGTCTTCTGCTTCTTTCCCAGGTGCATTAGCACAGAGCTGTTCTGGAAGTAGAGCAACTGGGACTCAAACTGGTGCCCACGTGGGGTGCTGGCAATGCACCCACAAAACTGGCAGCTTTACCCACTGTGCCACAGTGCTGGCCCCTATTTTATGTCCTTTGTCACCTATTTAAATCCCCTCATTAACGTTTGTGCATATTTTCTCTCTGTATACATGCACATGTGTGGACATGCATTTTTCTGAATCATTTGAAGATAAGTTACATATATTACAGCCTTTTTTTTTTTGCTTCTAAATATTTCAGGGTGTGTTTCCTAAATTCACTTAGGTAATAGTTACTGCTTCTTGGATTTCTGTTGTTACATTTCCATTTAATCTGCTACTTATGTGGTGGTATTGCCAAGTGACTTAATACCATCTTTTTTTATAGAAAGCTTTTATTTAATAAATATAAATTTCATAAGTACAACTTTTAGATTACAGCAGTTCTTCCCCCCATACCTGCCCTCCCATCCCCAAACCATCCCACCTCCTACTCCCTCTTCCATCCCATTTTTCATTAAGATTCATTTTTAATTATCTTTATATACAGAAGATCAACTCTATACTGAGTAAAGATTTCAACAGTTTGCGTCCACACACACGAAGTATAAAGTACCGTTTGAAGACTAGTTTTACCATTAATTCTCATAGTACAGCACATTAAGGACAGAGGTCCTAGCAAGTGCACAGTGACTCCTGTTGTTAATTTAACAATTGACACTCTTATTTATGAAGTCAGTGATTTCCCGAGGCTCCTGTCATGAGCTGCCAAGGCTATGGAAGCCTCCTGAGTCCACAAACTCCAGTCTTATTTAGACATGGCAATAATCAAAGTGGAAGCTCTCTCCTCCCTTCGGAGAAAGGTATCTCCCTCTTTGATGGCCCCTTCTTTCCACCAGGATCTCACTCAGAGAGATCATTCATGTAGGTCATTTTTTTGCCACAGTGTCCTGGCTTTCCATACATGAAATGCTCTCATGGGCTTTTTATCCAGATCTGAATGCCTTAAGGGCTGATTCTGAGGCCAGAGTGCTGTTTAGGGCATTTGTCATTCCTTGAGTCTGCTGTGTGTCCTGCTTCCCATGTTGGATCGTTCTCTCCTTTTTAATTCTATCAATTATTATTGATAGACGTTTAGTCTTATATATGTGATCCCTTTGACACTTAATCTTATCTTTATGATCAGTTATGAGCTTAAAATGATCACTTTAACAAGTAATATGGCATTGGTACCTGCCAGCTTAATGGGATTTGGAGTCCCATGGCAAGTTTTTAGCTTTCCCCTTAGGGGTAAGTCCGAAGGAACGTGTGCCAAACTGTGCATCTCCTCCCTCACTTATTCTCTCTCTTATTTTTAACAGGGATCAATTTTCAATGGGATTTAAACACCTAAGAATAATTCTGTGTTAAGTAAAGAGTTGAACCAATGGTAATACCATCTTTCAAAACACTTCCCCTGGGGTTGAGATCCAGTGTGTGGGGTCACATATCATGCTTATTGTGAGGTGTGAGGTCTGACATCCTGTCCCGCCAATGTTGTCACAGTCGGTCTTTTGTCAGAATGATGTTTTTAGAGACGGTGGTACCAGACCCCTTGAAGAAGGAGAATAGAAGTTCCTCATTTTGCACACGTTTGCTGCTTCCTCACTTGGCAGACGTAGGTTGGCCAGAATACTGCATAGGTGATGCTGTACCCATCCCAGGCACGGCATCTGGAGCACCTGTTGTCCATCTGTCCCTCTCTGGCACTGTTAATTTTGATTACCAGAAAAGATGTTGTCTGATTTCTCCAGGGTGCAATTACTCTGTTTTTGCCTCCCCTTTTGTAACTAATACACCATCCATGGGGAGTCGTGTTAACACCGTACAAATCTCCTGCACCAATTTGTCTATTTGTTATTAGTATGGACTCATGAATTTTTCCCCCGCTGGTTTGTGCTTCATAACAGTTGTCCAGATTGTCCCAGATTTGCCCAGTGGCAGTCCCTCAAAGCTGCTCCTATGTCTTTTGGCTGGGCACTCATAATTTTTTTTTATTTTTTGAGCACTCCCCTTCTCACTTCAGAAGACATTCAAGGATCGTTTTGAAACTTCCCGTCCCAGCCCTAGAATCAATCATGTCTTCAAGCAGCCCTGGTTATTTCTATTGGGGAATAATACTGGAGACCCTCTGCTGACCGAGCTAGGAAGTGTATGCATGTTTGTAAGTAAACCCCTAAAAGCACACACACACACACACACACACACACATGCTCTTGCACATAACGTGTGTTTGGGCTGTCATGATTGCACACAGAACATAATTATTTTATATATGTATGTGTTTATTTGGAAGGCAGAACATCAGAGAGGGAGAGACAGAGAGAGCTCTTCATCCATTGGTTCATCCAGGGCTGAGCCAGGCTGAAGCCTGGAACCCCATTCAGGTCTCCCATCTGGGTTGCAGAGATCCAGGCACTGGGGCCTTCCAGGTGCAGTAGCAGGGAGCTGGATCAGAAGTTGAGCAGCTGGGTCTTGAACCGGCACTCTGATGTGAAATGCAGGCATCGCCAGTGTAACCTGCTGTGTCACAGCACGGGCACAGGAAAATTGTGGGTGATGTTTAAAGAGGCTACAATCCAGCTGACCTAACAGGTTTGGGAGTTTTGTAATCTGCACACTTTCTTCAAATATAATAGACAAGTGATACGTTGTAGCTAGAACTCGGAAAAAGATAGTGGGGAGGGCTTTGGAAATAGACTTTCTCCCTTTAGCCAGTTGGGTTGGTTGATTCTTGTTTAAGGAGACTTCCTCTGAGGCAGGTAGCAATGAACCTGTGATGCCTTGAACGCACATCATTTGATAGATGCTTATTTTAAAACTTTTCAATAGCTGGGACATGCTGTTGTACCTGCAGTCCGAGTGGTGTGTGTGTGTGCAGTCCGAGTGGTGTGTGTGTGTGGGGGGGGGGGGTTGAGGAATAGTAACAAAGTTAATATCCGCTGTGGGAGATGGGCCATCACTATTACCTGTGGCTGGGGGACAGCCCTCCTCACCCCTCCTCACCGCATCCTCCTGCTTCCCTCGACAGAAGGCCCGGCTGGCCTCAGCTGGGCGCTCCTCATTCCCTCCCTTTGCGTTACTGCTACACATGCGTAATTCCAAGTAATAGTTTTGATTTTGCCTGGTTTTGATCTTTGTACGTGATGGAATCATACTGGATTTTATTCTTCTGTTCCTTTTTAAAAAAAATAATTGGAAATTTGCTTTTAAAAATGCTTTATTTATTTGAAAGGCAGAGTGAGAGCAAGCAAGCAAGTGCGAGTTTTTTTTTTTAAAGGTTTATTTATATATTTGAAAGTCAAAGTTACACAAAGAGAAGAGAGGCAGAGAGAGA